AAAAAATGTGATTAAAAGTAGTTTTCCATTAAAGGATACACATTTTATTCTATAGTTTTTTACCTGTTATTATGACACTAAAATGTATTTTATTATAAAGCATGATGAAGATATCTACAAATAAAATAAAGATTTTTTTTTTCAATTTTGTGTGTTTTTGTTTTCTAAATGTGTCACTAAATATATTAAGGCGGAGCTCAAGTCATTTGGGTGTTTATTAAAAGTCAGCAGCTGCAAAAAACTGTACTAAAACTGTCGCTGCTGACTTTTAATATACACACTAATGCAGGCCATAGACGGGTCGAAAATCAGCCGTTTAAAAAAAAAAAATAAACGAAAAATCGGCCGTTCAATAGGCCAACGTTACCACCAACAGTAAAAAAAAAAATCGTCTGATTTTCGTCCCATCTACAGCCAACGTTTAATTACTTCTGTCCCTTGCAGAGAGCTCCACTATTATATTTGACATGAAAAATTATTTCTGTTGCAACAATGTATCCATTTGTATACATTATCCATTTGCGCATGAGCCGTGACCTGCAAGAAGAAGAAGAAGAAGAAAAAAGAAAAGCAAAGAAAGAAGGAAGAAAAAGAAGAAGAAAAAAAGAAGGAAGAAGAAGAAGACAGAAGAAGAAAAAAGAAAGAAGAAGAGAAAAGAAATAAGAAGACAGAAGAAGAAAAAAGAAAGGAGAAAAAGAAGAATTCCAGTCCGCTATTATATTTTCTATTAAAAGTCTTGCGGTTGCAACAATGTATCCATTTGTATCCATTTCTGATACAGATGTTTTTATTCAGATACAAATGGATACATTGTTGCAACCACAAGACTTTTCATATAAAATATAATAGTGGACTGGAATTCTTCTTCTTTTTGTATTTCAATGGTTTTTATTAATTTATAACAATTAACACAGGAACAACAAATCACGCCCACGCAGGGGCTATCAATTGCACATAGAGGAAGTAGAAATTAGAGAAATCAGTGCTCTAACACCAACGGGGCAAAAGATACGCCCATGCAGGGGCCATCAATGGCAGTTAAAAATTACAAAACATAAATATAACACTGATAATAACTCAGAGACTAAAGACAGCTATCCACTGCCACACCAAAGCAAACAGAGGAAAAAAAGGGGGAAAAGGAAGAAGTACAAAAGAAAAAAGGATAGCCAAACCAAGAGCAGGGATCCAAGAACGCCGAAGTCGAACAACATCACATCCCCAGGCTAGCCGGGGGGAGCGTGGGAAAGGTATATTGCAACCATGGCTCCCATATTTTCAAGAATTTACATTGGGAGCCGTTGCAGATACTCGACATCTGTTCATTGAGCATCATAGTGGTCATACGATCCGGCACCCCCTGAAGAGGGACAAACGGGCTCTTCCAGGCCTGAGCAATTGTTCTATGTTTGATGACAGAGAGTATGCTTATCAAACTCTGAAGGAGTATCCCAGGGATGAACTACTAGAGTGTATACGGATCGCTCATTGCCTAGTAGATCAGGGCACAGAGTTCTCTGAGGTGCAGCCATTGATTCAGGTTTGTGCTGAGTTGGTTTCATCTGGTACCCCCGAATGCAGGGATGAATTTTTGCCCCCATTTAGCGCCGACCAGGTAGAGTCCCTGGTATGGTTATTAGAGGATGATGTGGATTACTTTCTGGAGCGTTATTCTGCATGTTCACAACAGGTACTAAGAGATTGTATAAACGCAGTGCAGTCTTTGGTCAGACAGGCTTTGTGTAAGCTGAGCTTTGTTCAACCCATACTGCAGACATGGTCAGACTTGTTGCACCCAGCCTCAGTCAGCTTGCAAAAACCCAGTCCTGCTTCTAATCTATTTCTTCAAAGCTCTATTCCTGCATTCCCAACAGCACCTCCAGTTACAGCCCAGTATACCCTGCTATCTACCGCGTGTCAGTACCCTGTTCCCACTCGCTGCACCTATCCTGCCTTTAACCCTGTAAAGAAGCCCTCTGTAGCAACTGTTCCCTCCCCTGTTCCATCCTCCAGCTCTTCTCTGTCTCCAGCTGCTCCATCCGTTTACAAACCTGCGCTTACTTGCGGTGCTCGGTAACTAAAAGGACCAGGAAAAGGCGAAAGTTCTTTCCAACCAATACCATCCTGCCAGTATCCAAACCGGTCAGCCTCCCATCTGAGAACCTGCCTTCCGTGGTTCAGCCTGATGCCTCCACCCAGCCTGATGCCTCCACCCAGCCTGATGCCTCCACCCAGCCTGATGCCTCCATTCAGCCTGAAGCCTCCATTCAGCCTGATGCCTCCATTCAGCCTGATGCCTCTACCCAGCATGATGTTTCTACCCAGCCTGATGAACTGATCCAGCCTGATGATTCCATTAGGCCAGTTGACTCGATGCCGCTGTCGATCCAGACGATCCGGTACCTGATGACCCAGTACCCGCTGTCATGCCTGGGGCCCGATGCCTGTCGCCCCGCCTGGGGGCCCGATGCCTGTCGCTCCGCCTGGGGGCCCGATGCCTGTCGCCCCGCCTGGGGGCCCGGCGCCCCGCCTGGGGGCCCGGCGCCCGCCGCCCCACCTGGGGGCCCGGCGCCCGCCGCCCCACCTGGGGGCCCGGCGCCTGCCGCCCCGCCTGGGGGCCCGATGCCTGTCGTTCCGCCTGGGGGCCCGGTGCCCGCCGCCCCTCCTGGGGGCCCGATGCCTGTCGCCCCTCCTGGGGGCCCGATGCCTGTCGCCCCTCCTGGGGGCCCGATGCCTGTCGCCCCTCCTGGTGGCCCGGTGCCTGCTGCTCCGCCTGGTGGCCCGGTGCCTGCTGCTCCGCCTGGTGGTCTGGTGCCTGCTGCTCCGCCTGGTGATCCGGTGTCCAGCTCGATGTGCCTCTGCCCGGAGTCCAGCTCGATGTGCCTCTGCCCGGAGTCCAGCTCGATGTGCCTCTGCCCGGAGTCCTGCCCGATGTGCCGCTGCCCGGAGTCCTGCCCGGTGTGCCAGTCTTTGATATCCCGCCAGTTACCAGACCCGGGCGGTGGAACATTTTGCCCAGCTAGGACTGTTTGGAGCGTCCTGAGGCCGCTCCTTGAGGGGGGGGTACTGTCAGGAATGGACTTGCCAGTAATGGTGGGACTCACCTGCTTTGTGGGCTGCAGTACCAGGGCTGGCCAGCGGGTGCTCCCAGCAATCAGAGACTCAACCCTGCAGCCAGCCAAACACCTGAAGTTGATTATGCAGGTGTATTTAAGGGATGGCCAGACCTGCAGTCTCTGCCTTGGTGTGTGTTTTTCCTGGGCCCTGTATCTTGTTCCTGCATGCCTGTTCCTGTCCCTGTCTGATTCGTTGCTGACCCTGCCTGATCCGGACCTCTGCTGACTTCTCCTGTTTTATCCCTGGCTTTTGACCCCGACCATTCTCTGCCTGACCCCCTGTACCTACCTGCCCGATTGTTATTGACCCAGCCTGCCTGACGACGCTTGCATTGTATGTACTGTTATCTGTGGGTGGTTTGGTTTGGTTCGTTTGCACTGTTATGTTTTAGTATTGCACTGCGTTTATGTTTGTATTGTTAGTCTTTAATAAATTATATTGTTTATAACTTATCTGAAGCCTGCGTTTCCCTGCGTCAGTTCACATACCTCTGGTCATACCCTGAAGCCCTGACACCCGGTATGGGACAATGAAGCAAAGCATACCGAGCATCCCATTGTATAGAAAGATGGAACAAGGTGAAAAGGAGGCCAAACACACGAGACCAAAAATGAAGCAGCCTCGGGCATGACCACCAGATATGCAATACATCACCACGATGGCCACAACCCCGAAAGCATCGATCACTGCAGGCAGGGTTCGCCTGTGCCAAACGAGCCGGAACCCAATACCAACAAAACAACACCTTGTAGGCCGCCTCCAGCATGGTCGTATTAAAAGAGCATTTAGCTACAAGCGACCAGGCCCTATTCCAGTCCTCCGGATCCACAACCACTCCCAGGTCGCGCTCCCACTGAACGACATATGAAAGAGAAGTATGCGACGAGCGTCTATTCAAGGCTGCATAAAGAAGGGAGATAAGGCCCAGGGCGCCCGGACGCTGTTGGCAAAGCAGTTCAAAGGCAGATTCTCTGGTACAGGAAAACAGAAGTGCCCCGCAATGAGAGCAGCCAATGCCACAATTGAAGGTAACGAAAAAATTCCTGCGAAGGGACATACCGTGACTCCCGAAGAGAATTCCAGGTGGGGAAGGACCGAGAGGTCAAAAAATGTCGTACTTGTGAAAAACCGTTCACCACCCACCAAGAAAACGCCCTTGGTTGATCTAAACCCGGTGGAAAGAGGGGGTTGTTAGTAATTCAGAGCAAAGGCAAGAAAGGTGACATTAGGCCACTGGAGTAACGTACCGAGTCCCACACTTGTAAGCCATGGAGCAAGATCGGACTCAGTGCCGTGGGGCGCAGGGCAGTGGGAAGCCATAGAAGCGTCGAAATCGCAATAGGGGCACAATTAGGTAATTGCAGCAGGACCCAGAGAGGTATGTCTGAGGAAGCATGCAACATAGATAGCGGGGCAATCTGGCTCGCTTGATAATATTTAGTTACATTGGGAACCCCAAGGCCACCCTGGAGTCTATGGACAAAAAGTGTAGTTCTGGAAACTCTGGGGCGTTTATCGGCCCAGATAAAACGCATAATCTTCGCCTGAAGCAACCGAAGGAAATGAGGAGGAACCCGCACTGGGAGGGTGCGAAAATAGTATAACAATTTTGGCAAGATGGTCATTTTCACTGAATTGATCTGTCTTATCCATGACAGGTGTGTGGAAATTGCCAAGAATGCATAAGAGAGGACACAGAGCAAAGCAATGGATAGTAATTTGCAGCAAACAGTAAGTCATAGGTGGGGGTCAAGCAAATGCCTAGGTATTCAAGAGAAAAAGAGGCCCATTTATAAGGGAAGTGGGCCAAAGTAATATTAAGCACGACAGTCTTATTCAAATTGATACAGAGACCCAAAATCAAAGAGAAGCGCTCAAGAACCTGTTGCAAGTCTGGAAGCGTCGTCAGGGGATTAGTGAGAGTCAAGAGGGCATCGTCTGCAAAAAGGTTCAACTTAAACTCCTGTCCCGCGTATGGAACCCCTGATACATTACAATCAGTCCGGAGCGCCATAGCCAACGGCTCAAGCGCCAGTACAAAGAGCGCCGGGGACAGGGGGATCCCTGTCTTGTACCTCGCCAAATAGGAAAGAGATCTGAGAAATATCAAGCGTATTTAACGGAAGCCGAAGGGGAAGAATACAAGGCTTGAATCCAAGAAAGAATAGAGTCCCCAAAACCCCAGCGAAACAGCACAAACCGCAGATATTCCCAGGATAGAGAATCAAAGGCTTTATATATGTCTGAGGACAGTAAGAATCCCGGTGTTTTCCGCTGTTGTAGAAAATGTATAAGATGGACCACCTCACGAACATTATCACCCACCTGTCTCCCAGGGACGAAACCCACTTGGTCTCTGTGGATCAGGCTACGCAAGTATTTATTGATACGAAAGCTAAGAATCTTGCCCAAGATCTTCAGGTCTTCATTAAGAAGAGAAATGGGCCGAAAGGCTTGCGGTTCCTGCACATCATCGGTTGTCTTAGGGATCATGGAAATATGAGCTCTAAGCGCATCCGGAGAGGGCAATGAGCCCCAACGTAACTCATTAAAATAATCAGCCAAGAAGGGTGCTAACAGGGTTGCAAATGTCTTATAATAGAGGCCGGAAAAGCCATCTGGACCCGGGGCAGCTGTAGACCGTAGAGATTTAATAGCTTGGAGCACTTCCGGTACGGTGACACCGGCATTGAGGGCCTTCTGTGCTGCCTCAGATAGTCCAGGAAGTTGGAGGTCTTGAAAGAATGCCTCTGCCTGAGCCACAGGGAAGGGATCTGGTTTGGCGTAAAGGCGCAAAAGAAAGTCCACGAAACGAGAGACAATTTGCTGGGGATTAGAAGTACAGCCACCCACGGGAAGTCGCAATCGGATCAGTTTATGGGGTTTCCCCACAGAATTGAGTTTCCTGGCCAGCATTGGACCTGGCTTATTAGCACAGGAATAAAATTTGTGTTTGGCCCAACGCAGGGCCCGTTCCACCTCTGAAGAGGAGAGTAGGCCCAACTCTGCTGCCAGGGCGTCTCGAGCGCGTTTATGGGCCGTGGATGGGAATGACTTCCAACGAGCAGAGGACAACAGAGAATGGAGCTCCAAAAGTCGGCGCCCCTGTTCCCGCTTCCGAACCGCTGCCAGCTGTATAACCTGACCACGCACCGTGGCTTTGTGCGCCTCCCACAGGGGTACTGCCAAAGAAACAGATCCCGAGTTTTCCGCGAAGTATGTGCGTAAGAAAGATTCTATGTGTTGGCCGGTGACCTGAGTGGTCATTAAAGAGTCATTAATGCGCCAGTGAAAGGGGCGCTGTACCGACCCAGAAAGTACCAGAGGATCATGGTCCGACCAGGGCGAGGAGGGAATAGCTATCCGCCTGACCAAAGGAAGCTGCTGGACATACATGAATATGTGGTCAATTCTACAAAAACTGTCATGAGGGTTGGAATAGAATGTAAAGTCGCGCTCATTTGGGTGGAGTTCCCTCCAGACGTCCGCCAGCCCCGCCGTCCTCAAGAGAGCGCATACGTTCCTCTAACACCAAGTCTTGAGAAGGGGCCGCCCCCAGGCATAGCGCCTATCCAATGTGGAATCCAAGGTAACATTGGAATCTCCCAAAAGAAGGAGACCCTTGGAGTGTCGGGAGACAATGGTGCAAAGATGAGAAAAGAATTTATGTTGAAAGCGATTAGGTGCATAGTAAGAGACAAAGGTAACCTCCTGATCCCAGAGGGTGCCCTGCAGAAGCAAGTACCTACCCGTGGGGTCCGCTATATTCCGAGCACAGACAAAAGGAAGATTGCGCTTGAAAGCTATTAGTACACGCTGGCGTTTCTCAGGGGCCGAGGCCGTGTAAAAGGTGGGAAAGTGAGGCGAAAGATACTGTGGAGCGGAGGACTGAGAAAACCTGGTCTCCTGTAAACATACCACGTCAATTTGTTGCGATTTGAGGTGATGAAAAACTTTAGCCCGCTTCTGAGGCGAATTGAAATCTTGAACATTTTGTGAGTATACTTTCAGAAGGGGTGAGGCCATGGCGGTATCAGCACTGCATGCTCAGCAGAAAAAGCATAGGTCGGCCAACAGTTATCATTTCCAATGGCGTTTGGACCATGGCATCCTGAGACCCTGCATCGGAATAAAACAAAAAAAAACAGAAAAGAAGAGAAGGGAGAAAAAAAAGAAACAAGAAAATATATACAGCAGTATAAACGTGTCACATCAATGGTGACATGCATCCTCCTACACCTGAAGGATATCGGTTGGGGGTGGCTCTACCACCGGACACATGGCTGCAAATGAAAACATCAAAAACATAAGCCCTCAGGGGGCAAAAAGGCAATAAACACAGTATAACGGGATACCAAAGTAATAAACTAAGAGCCCCAGAAGTGAGCACATCCGCAATAACCTCCCGATAGAAAACCCAGCTAAACTAAGGGGCCAACCCCAATCAGGAAGATGGCTACAGGCCACCGTAGAACCACTACACAGCCCAAGTGGTCCCACACCTCCCAATAGGGCCAACACCCGATCAGACCCACCTCCCACCCCGAAGCCCGAGGGAACCATCACCCCATACCCAAACAGGAACCTGAAAAAACAGCACCCATGGTAGGCCAAGACAGCAAAAAGTCATAATCCGCAAGTCCAGGAGGAGATCCTCCCCCCCCATTCAGTGATGGAACCCAAGGGAATGGGTCGGATCAGGCCTAGCCTGGAACGCTAACAACTGAAAAAGCCCTAAGGGCCAAACTCACAGTCCCATCAGGAAAGTCCAACGGTGAAACACAACGCGGGAGATCCAAGATACATTC